TTTTTAGATTTTTTTTTACAGTACAGATTAAAAATATTTTTTTATTATAAATATATATTTTTATATAAATTAAATATATAGTTATAAAATATATATTTTTAAATAAATTAAATATATAGTTAGACATTGGGTTTCATTTCCCCCAAAATTTCAGCCATCAGCTGATTTAATGATGATGATACTCAAATTTAGCTGATGGGACAAATCTGAATCACCATTGGATGGTGCAAAATTCTGATTTTGGCTGGATTTTCCTACAAGGCAAAGTTTTCATAATATAATTTGGTTTTTTGTTTATCTAAAAAACAAATGGTTGTGAATTGTCAAACTATTGGGCTTCTGGTGTTCTCGTCACTCTATTTGCCTTTTCCCTACCTTTTTGTTCTGATCTTTATTTCTTGTTTTCTCAGATTCCAGAAGAGGAGAAAAACCTTGGTCCTCATGATCGCTTGATCCACGTTTATCATTTTACAAAAGAAACTGCTCAAAATCAGGTGGTGAGTGTGTTCAATTGCTTCTCTTCCTTCTCATTTGGTCAGTTGATGTCAGTTCAAAATGTTGCTTGTCATAAATAATGGATAGCTATCAGTTGTGAACATTTTTTCTTCTCTTGATGAATGTGCTTTTACACGATGGGGAGTAATCCTTCCCCTTCCTTTATTGTTCCTTTCCTGCTAAAATCAAGTTTCTGATTCCAGTACCTTGACATAACCATCTTTTTGCAAACAAAACCAGTCAACACCTTCTATTTCTTTCTAAATTCATTTTCCTTTTTTCCATTAGCAGCAGATACAGAATTTTGGGGAGCCTTTTTTTCTTGTTATTCATGAGGGTGAGACATTAGCTGAAGTTAAAGTGCGCATTCAGAAAAAGTTGCAGGTTACAGATGAGGAATTTGCAAAGGTATGAACTATTTATCTGCAGTGCACTTCTTGTGATTCTACCCCTTTTGTTCAGTTTCTAATATATATATATATATATATATATGCCTAGTGAACTTATTAGTATAATATTTTTCTTTCTCAGTGGAAGTTTGCATTTTTATCACTGGGTCGACATGAGTACCTTCTAGATTCCGACATTGTATCTGCTCGATTTCAGGTGAATGTGATCAAACTTTGTGAACGTGATCAAACTTTTGATGTTGTCACTTCTTCTTTTTTTTCTTTTTTTAATTTCAATTTTTCATTGTCATATTTGGCTTTGTGACTTCAGAGAAGGGATGTCTATGGGGCCTGGGAACAGTATCTTGGAGTGGAGCACTCAGACAACACCCCTAAGAGGTCCCATGTGACAAATCAGGTAAAAATGTTACTTGATTACCCTAAGAGCTAGAAGATAGAATGCAGGATAATATAATGAAATATCATCAGGATGACCAAGATGAGGGAAATGCTTTATTTGTTTTTTTTCAACTAAGATTCTTTGATGACCTTTGTGACTTGAATCTTGCAGAATCGCCATACATTTGAGAAGCCAGTTAAAATCTACAATTAGGAGAATCAGATAAACAATTGTATTGTCATGTGGCATGCCCAGCTCTTTTAACAGACTGAGAAGCTGAAAGGTTACTTGCCACATGTCGCTGCAAGGGCCATTATTGTGTAAATTGGATGTGGTGATTCCTAAGTCGGGAGAGGACGCTGACATAGAGCTTTATTCCCTGTAGTTTCACTCCCTCCCACACGGCTGTCCGTCGGGACATTTAGCTGGCATTTTCTCGTTGAATTCCATTGTAATTTGTTTTGGACGATTTTTGTGGTGGGGGATGTATAGCAGAACTATAGAAGTTATAGGTGTAAATCTTTGTTTTGAACATCTTCTTATGGTTTTGCTTAATAGATATATAAGAGCATGTGGTTCCCAGTGTCTCTGCTCTTTATTTCATCAACTGGTTTTGTTTTCTAACATGGAGAATTAGGGAAATGGGATTACAAGTAGAAGGGGTGGGATTCGAACTCTATACCACAAGGTGCGACAATCCTTTACAACATATTAAGCCATTAGAACTTTATAATTGTGATTTTGATGTCTCGTGTTAGTATTTTTCAATCGCTTTCTTGCTGTTCCTGTAACCAAATGGTTACACGCATCTGATGGCCTGTCCATGAAATAACTTGGCATCACATGCTGCATTGATTTTGATCACTCCTTCCTGTCCATCAGAATCCTATGCAACTAGCTCTTAAACATGTGGTACCAAATGGCCTCCACAACCATTGGAGAGGGAGAGGAAAGACCATGTTGCCGCCGAGATTTCTGTTCCCTCCGTCGCTGATTGTGGCGGCAGCCTCGGTGGTTAGTTTAACATCGATGGCAAATATAGCGCTGTTAGAAATAAGAGGGAGGCCCTTACAGTATTCAAAATTCTCTGAGGTTGGTTCGGGTTCTCACAATCAAAACGCTGCAACAAGAAAGAAGATTGTACTACCCGGTAGAACTGGCATGCTTGTGGCATACACCCCTGCCTTCCTCACCGGTGCTGCTTCCTTTGCGCTCTTCCCTGACGAGGGTCTCCGGTTTCTGCTCCTAAAATCTGCCATTACCATTCATTTCTTGAAGAGAATTCTCGAGGTATCTTTTCGATGATGTCCTTATCTTAACAGAAATCATTAAAATCACTAGTAGTCTTGTGTTTTCAGGTAATTTTTATTCACAAATATAGCGGTGGGATGCCTGTCGATTCAATGATTGTCATAAGTCTCAGTTACTTCATAACGACTGCAATCATGATTTATGCGCAAAACCTTACTCAAGGGCTGCCAGACCCACCAATTGATCTGCAATACCCGGGGATAATATTATTCCTGATAGGAATAAGTGGAAATTTCTACCACCATTTTTTGCTATCAAGACTGAGAGGAAATACTATGAAAGAGTACAAAATTCCCAGGGGAGGTTTATTCGAGATGGTGATATGCCCTCATTATCTATTTGAGATCTTAACCTTCTGGGGGATTGCACTGATCTCCCAAACACTTTTCTCGTTTTGTTTTGGTATTGGAACTACTTGGTACTTGATGGGTAGGAGTTATGGCACCAGAAAGTGGTACCTTTCCAAGTTTGAAGATTTCCCCAACCATGTTAAGGCTATCATTCCATTCATATTTTAGATAAATGTATACACAAACCCATGTAGCTCTTAGCTACATACAAGTTAGCTATCAATGGCCAGTGCAACATTGTTGATCTAAATTGTGGTAATAATTAAGATTTTAATGTACCTTGAGTGGAGTTAGACCCTCTCTTTCCTTCTCATATGTCTCATTATTGATTTGAGACCTTTAACCTTTTTTTTTTTTTGCTAATGAGGCCTCTAATTTAAGTGTCAATTTTTTTTATCAATAACTAAAGACACCCTCTAGTTGATAAAGTTAATTTATTTTCAATAAAAAAAACTGCTATTTGTTATTCACTCTTTTCATTTTAATTATAAAAATTGTGTTCCATAACTTACGGTCCAAATTATAAAGCATAGATCAACAAATAGGAGGACACGCTCCTGACTTGAGGGCTCCCTCATTAAAAGAGCAGAATACAGAAAGGTGACAATGAAGAAACTAAAAAGGAGAAGAAGAGAATCCAACCAGATATTTTCTCTGTTTTTGGTATTTCCCTAACGAATATCTCTTGGAATATTAATTAAAAAGGAGAAGAAGAAAAACCAATTCAGATATTAACATTATATATAAGATTTTTACTTACAATTTTTTATTTAAAAAATGAAAGAAGGGAAGGAAACCGTTATTTGGCCAATTTTTATTTTTAGGTTATTTAAAAATTTGGTTTTCTTAAAATTCTTTGAAAAAAAAAAAACCTAATAATGTGGACTTTAAGTCCCAAGCAAAATGTGCCAATAATTTTCATTCTTAAGTCCAATTGTTATTGTCTTAAATTTAAATCTTTTCTTATGTGAAATCTTCTTGGTCCAATTGAATTCTACTTCATTAACAATAAAATTTAATAAAATAACATTCTTAGTTATTCTCAAACACAATAAAAAAAAAGTAATAAAAATTTTCATGGCCTCTAGTATAAACTTTGAGTGAGTGATAGATAAACTCCCGGCTTCCATCCTTTCAATTTTTTTTAAAAAACTAAGCATATCCTAACATTCTACATACCAACATAAAAGCCTGAAAAATTGAGCCCAAATAATTTAGGAGGCCATGTAAAAAATTCTCTTCTGCTGTATTAGGCTTCAAGGAAAGGAAAAAATAATTGGGCTTTGAAGGTTGGGCCGAATGATTAAGTTTCAACTTTGAAGGCCCAAACTCTTTTCTTTAAATGCCAAAATTTCAGAAATCCCCGATAATCGTAAAAATTCGGAAAAAGTACGGACAACTTATACCGTCCGTCGTTTTCTCTCCTTTCACCTCGCACCGGAGAAAGAGCAGTCGCCGATTTCTCGCCGTCAGGTTTATCAGTATCACCGGTATCCTTGACGCAATCATGTCGTAGCAGAGCTACCACCTTCGAAGCGCAAAGCTCGACCTAATTGGTCCTACCAAAGGCATATTGAATCTCGACTGTTTTCTAAGCTAACCGGCATCCATCGTAGTTTCAAGAAACCGGTATCTGTTCTTCTTCATTATTACTATTACTATCTTCATTGCACAAAATGCACCTGCAGCTTCTTTGTAATCAATTGATCACCTTTTTGATACTTTTCTTCGGACTAGGGTTTTTTTTTTTTTTTTCACTTAAGTAATTTTCTGTATTACCAGATTCATAGCATTGTTTCGAATTCGTGTTGAAAATCGGTTATGATTGCCATTGATTATTGATGTTGTTTGATGTGTAACAGTTTGCTTGGTGTTATATCGATTTCTGTAGAGAAGCTTCAGTAACGTCTTTATTGGCAATGGAGATGGATTGGTCTGAAACAAAGCGTGAACCACATGAAGAGAGAGATGAAGATTCTCCAAGAGAGCGCAGGAGCAAGGATAGGAAGAAGAGCAGCAGGGAAGAAGAAAAGGATCATCGAGGTAGGGACAGAGAGCAAGAACGTTCCAAGAGAAGTAGTGGTGATGATCTTGTGAAGGAAAGAAGGAAGGATGATAGGGATGAGCGTGAAAAGGATAGAAGCAGGGATAATAAAGTCAGGGAGAAAGAAAAAGATTATGATAGGGATAAGTATAGGGAAAAAGATCGAAAGGATCGTGGTAAAGAAAAGGATCGGGAGAGGGAGAGAGATGTTGAAAAGGAGAATGATAGAGGGCGAGATAAGGACAAGGGAAAGGAGAAGAGTAGGCATAGAGATAAAGAAAAGGAGAAGGAAAGAGATAGGGCAAAGGAGAAGGAGAAACTCAAGGGTCGAGACGAGAGGGATAGTGAAATGGATATGGATAAAGAGAAGGGTAAGGAGAAAACTAGAGAGAAGGATAGGGAGACAGATCAAGAAAAAGAGAAGTTGAAGGAGAGGGATAAAGTGAGCAAGAGAAGTCATCAGGAGTATGAAAGAAGCAAAGATGGGGGAAAGGATGGCAGTCTTGAAGATAAAAGATATAGGGATGAAGATGAACGTGATGCTGACAATACCTCAGGTGCCATGCAGACGTCAACATCTGAGCTTGAGAATCGTATTCAGAAGTAAATAAAATTTCTTATCAGTTTTTTTTTTTTTTTTTTTTTTTTTAATCTTCTGTAGAGTTATATCACAGAACATTTACAACTGTAGAGAGCCAGCAACTGTTCAGTTACAAACTTAAACTGTTAAGCTTGCTACTTCAACTAACAACTAGCTTGTCTTTAACTTACTACCTAAATGTAATTAATTCTGATGTCTGATAACACTATAGTGTTGTCTCTTCTATTGTATTAAGGATCCTCAGCGTCACCTAATCATTTGTGCCAATAATTTACTCAGGATGAAAGAAGAAAGATTGAAGAATAAGTCTGAAGCTGTTTCTGAGGTTTTAGCATGGGTTAACAGGAGTCGTAAACTTGAGGAGAAAAAGAATGCTGAAAAAGAGAAGGCCTTGCAACTCTCAAAGATTTTTGAGGAGCAGGTAGTTTTTTATCCTCATTTTCTTGTTTATTTTTCTCTTGTTCCATTTTCTCTTTGCAACATATTGTTGATTTGCTTAATTGCATGTGGATTTTATGACAGTAATAATTGATGCCATGATATAAATTTGTCAGGACAATATTGTTCAAGGGGAAAGTGAAGATGAGGAGGATGGTCAGCAAGCTACCAGTATGTACTTTCCCCTTTCATACTTTCTTTTGTTTAATAACAATTACTTGTTGAAAGGGAATGATGATTGTTGAATAGAATCTTGATATTGTCATGGTGCAAACTGCATTGGTTAGGCATTCTTCCAGCATTATATTCACCCAGAATTTTGTTGAGATGTGTGACTTCATTTAGCATGAACAGGAGAACATCTTTAGGCGTTGTACTTCTAAGCATTTTAGTTATTTTTTAATGAGATTTTTTTAACTGTCAATCTTGAATAACTTTTATCATGAATATCTCTGTTAACAGATGATCTAGCTGGGGTTAAAGTTCTTCATGGCCTTGAAAAAGTAATGGACGGTGGAGCGGTTGTTTTCACTCTCAAAGATCAAAGCATACTTGCCAATGGCGACATTAATGAAGGTAAAAGTCATTGATTCTGCTTATTTATGTTTCAGTCATGGTTCCTTGAGATGATGTAATATTTTTTCTGTAACTGACGTTTGTGGTCTTGTGTAACAGATACTGATATGCTTGAAAATTTTGAAATTGGAGAACAAAAGCGGCGAGATGAGGCTTATAAGGCTGCCAAGAAAAAGACAGGGATCTATGATGATAAGTAAGATGATTCTCAATGTCGTGTTATTATTATTTTTTGACATTACATGTTACATATACTCAATCCAGTGAGGCTTAGTCTCAAGAAATTTGAGTTTTGCTACATGAATGTTTTTTCTTGAAGGCAGACCATCTAAAGACTTACAGTATGAGAGATTCTTAATAACTTCTAGTCATCCACAATTATATTTAGGATACAGTTACCCTGCTAGTTAATTATTTACATTTTATGTTTTCTGGTGATTTAGGTTTAATGATGAGCCTGGTTCAGAGAAGAAGATATTGCCACAGTATGATGATCCAACTACAGAGGAGGTTTGTTCATTGACTTGCTTCATTAGTTGGGATTTCTCTTTCCTTGATGAGTCACATCTTTACCTTTCATGTTTTCTTTTTAATTTTCTTTCTATTTGGTGAAAGGAATTTAGAACATGATAATATGAATATCTTTTTGAAACATTTTGGAGTATGAGTGAGATTTGGATTTGAAACTTGGACCTCTCCCATCTAAATGGAGAATAGTGACTAGGCCAAGCTTTGGTTGTTTGAAAATGATTGTTTGTTATTTCTTCTTGGTACGTTCATTTTTTCAGGGTGTAACTCTAGATGAAAGGGGACACTTCACTGGAGAAGCTGAAAAGAAATTAGAGGAGGTATTATTTTCTTCGCCTTCTTGAGTTTTAGGAAAATTTTTAATATTTCCTGATAATGAGATGTTCTCTCCTCTTTACTTTTTTCTTTCCCTTTGGCAGCTCCGCAAAAGGATACAAGGTGTTTCTACAAATACTCATGTTCAAGATCTAAACACTGTTGGGAAGGTTTCATCAGATTATTATACTCAGGAGGAAATGCTTCAATTTAAAAAGCCCAAGAAAAAGAAATCTTTGCGGAAGAAAGAGAAGCTGGATTTGGATGTTCTTGAAGCAGAAGCTATCTCTGCAGGATTGGGTTCTGGAGATCTTGGTACTAGAAATGATGCTAGAAGGCAAGCAATTAAAGAGGAGCAAGAGAGGTCTGAGGCAGAGAGGAGAAACAATGCATACCAGTCTGCTTTAGCTAAAGCAGACGAGGCATCTAAATTACTGCGACTTGCACAAACTCTTCCAGTCAAACTTGAGGAAGATGAAAATCAAGTGTTTGCTGACGATGACGAGGATCTCTATAAATCCCTAGAAAGAGCTAGGAAATTGGCTCTTAAAAAGCAAGAAGAAGCATCAGGTCCCCAAGCAATTGCACGCCTTGCCACCACTGCTCCCAGTGGTCAAACTGCAGATGACCAAAACACTACAACTGGAGAGTCACAAGAAAACAAAGTTGTATTTACAGAAATGGAGGAGTTTGTGTGGGGCCTTCAGCTCGATGAAGGTATGGTTTACTTTAAATATCCCAAGGATTAAATGTTTTAAACTTGACTTAGGAACATTATTAATATTTTGTATCTTATATTCTCAACACAGCCGCTTTCCTTTCTTCAACCACAAAGCACAAACTCTTCTTTTTCTTGTTTCTTACTCTTGTTAATAGTTTTATGACTTTTTCTTGTTTCTCATCCATATTTGTGTTACCTTTGGTCTTTCAGAAGCCCATAAGCCTGATGGTGAGGATGTTTTTATGGATGAAGATGAAGTTCCAAGTGCTTCTGACCAAGATGGAAAAGATAAACAAGATGAGGCTAGCGGGTGGACAGAAGTTAAAGATACTAGTACAGATGACAAGCCAGCTAATGAGGATACAGAGGAGATAGTTCCAGATGATACCATTCATGAAGTTGCAGTTGGTAAAGGGTTATCTGGGGCATTGCAGCTACTTAAAGAACGTGGAACACTTAAGGAAACCATTGAATGGGGTGGCAGAAACATGGACAAGAAGAAGAGCAAACTAGTGGGCATCATAGATGATGATAGAGAGAATGATAGGTTTAAGGATATTCGTATTGAGAGGACGGATGAGTTTGGACGAATTGTAAGTATTCTTTCTTGATCCTTTTCTTTTGACTTTTTTGTGTATGACTGATTTTATCTTAGTCTATTTCAACCATGCCTTGATTTCCTCATCATTAGCATTCTAAGGATTTATTGACCACAAGAGTGAATATGATCCTTTAGACAAGGAAGGATTTCATTGAGTTATTGACATTGATGTGGCTTCTGGTAATGCCTTATTGGTTGTCTCTACATATTTAGGTCTAGTTCCTCTTACATGGAATAAATAATACTCTTGTATTAACTCACTAGTTCCCAAAATAATACTTTTGTATATTTATCTAAATTTATTTACAAATCTTTATCCTGGTATTAGAGCTCTCGGAAAATGAACTGCATCCCATATTCCCCATTTGATAGCTGATTGTTTTTAGACCACATTTTCATGCTTGGTTTAGTGTCCGGTGAACAGTATAGTTCTATGCATATTTCTGTACATGGTCTATGATTATATATTTCAACATAAGCTTTGCATGTTGATTAGAATGCACTAATATTTTATTGTTTCGTTATTTTCACCAGCTAACTCCCAAAGAAGCCTTTAGGATGCTGTCACATAAATTCCATGGGAAGGGGCCTGGCAAAATGAAGCAAGAGAAACGGATGAAACAATATCAGGAGGAGTTGAAGTTGAAGCAAATGAAGAATTCAGATACACCTTCACAATCTGTGGAAAGAATGAGGGAAGCTCAAACTCGGCTAAAAACACCCTACCTCGTCCTTAGTGGTCACGTGAAACCAGGGTATTTCTTTTTCATTTTATTGCTTGTTATTATGAATAATATTCCATTTCTAATGGGGAGCATTGAATTGCGTTATGTCCACTTCCTCACTCATCTGTAATTTATTTTCAGGCAAACAAGTGATCCTAGAAGTGGGTTTGCAACTGTTGAAAAGGATCTTCCCGGGGGCTTGACACCAATGCTCGGTGATAGGAAGGTAGGTGGCTCATGCATTTGTATATGCTCATTAGGATGAAGTTTTAGATTCTTTTTTCATTGTTATTCTTATGCTATCCACAAGAAATTGATTACTGGAATGTGAAATGAGTTCTAATTTTCATTTTTCTTAGGTTGAGCATTTCTTGGGGATCAAGCGCAAGGCTGAGCCAGAGAACACAAGCACTCAAAAGAAGCCTAAGACATGAGATGTGCTATGGTTGATTTCTTTTCGAGTGCAACATTTGGACGTTAGTATCTAAATAGTCTCTTTTTCCTTTCTTTTTTTTCTTCCTATAATTCTTCGCTTGTAAGAGAATAGGGAGGAGATAAGGGACGGTTACATGTTGAAAATATCAATATACTGTTATACTGCCAAACCTTTTTTTCCCCCTACCCTAATCACAATTGAGTACATCTTCTGTGAGAATTGATTTCTTTTTTCATTTTATTTTTGTTCTGAAGTGGAACAATGCCTAACCTGTAAATCGGCACATCATATTTTATCTTGTTTGCTTTATTTTCCCACACAATTATAATTATCTCTACACCTGAACTACTAGTCAAGCGAGCAAGAAGGGTGATAAAAAATAGTAACGTTCATCATAGCTATAGTTTTAAGGAAACTGTTTAGGGTCACCAACCAACTTATTCAATGGAGAACGAAAAACACACTACAGTTACTAAATGGTTGTGAAAAAGCTAGTACGGTTGCAGCATGTTTCCAGAGGAGTTTTTGCAGGAATTGGGGCAGCATTAGCAACCCCACAGAATCAGGGATCAAGTCCTGCAGGGGATCATGAAAGAAAAAAGGATTACCAACCAATTTTAAACAAGCCAGTCAGTTACAAAGTTCCTCAATTTCTCTGTGCGAAGAAAAGACCACTTTTGGCTCCTGTGTTCCCAGGAAATTGCCAGATCCGGATGACATGGACCCGGGGTGGGGGGTGGCTTCGAAGAAGAAGGAAATGTCCGGTTTGGGTGGGTGTTCTTGGGTTGGGCTGTGTTCTGCTTCTAGGATCTGGGCCCTTCTATTATTCTTTCTTTGCTGACCTCTACTTAGATTTGCTTTCATAATGGACTCTCCCATAGGCGAAAAGTCCAATCCAATCTTAGTTAATAAGGTGAAGTATTCTATTATTTTTTAGATTTTTTTTTACAGTACAGATTAAAAATATTTTTTTATTATAAATATATATATATATAAATTATCATTAATTTTAATGTAAATGTCAAATAAGTAAATATAATTACGTAGTTAATAAATTAATAATTAATTTTAATTTTTTAATACAAATTTATGATTAAAAAATATAATTAATGCATTTCTTAACCTGTGATTTAAACAATTCCTTATTTTTTAATAAAAAAATACTTCTTTCACAAGCCACTAATTTGTCTCTCGTTGAAGCCTTGTGTTATGAATTTGGTTTGCGTTTTGCAATGTGATAAAGCATTTGCTACAGACAGCGCTGAATATGAGGTTTGGTGGAACAGGTTGCAAAGATTACAGGGCAAACAAAGAATTTCCACATCACCTGTAAAAGAAGTAAAACCTAACACATGATCAAGGAAACATCTCAAAACCCCATCAATAAAATAAGAATAGTGCCACAACCAAGAAATTCCCCTGTATAAACACATGCAAAGAAACACAATTCCCCTCCAAATTCATCAGAATTGAAGCAAAACAAGAAAGAAACAACAAAAATGGCCAGGAGACACGCAAATACTGGATTATTTACCGTTCTTGATGAGGATTTCCAACCCAAATGGGAGGAGAGAGAAGAAGAATGGGCTCATCTTCTTTTTGTTTATCTTCCCGGTTTGTTTATCATTGCCATGTCTTGTTCTCTGCTGACATTATGGGTTCATGATCTTAATTTCCTTCTTGATTCTGTAGACTTTTCCAAGGATCAAATTCGGGTTACGTACGAGCATCCCATGCGTTCCGTTAGAGTTGAAGGAGAAAGGTCACTTGGGAACAACAAATGGAGCCGTTTCAATCGAGCTTTCTCGGTTTCACAAAATTGCATTGCGGAGGGAATTTATGCAGTGTTTCAGGGTGGAAAATTGACTATCACAATCCTGAAACAGACCGGCTCACCGCCGCAGCCTGCCGCTTCTTTTTTAAATGGAGAGGGCCAGTGGTTCGTAGAAAAAAGCGATATGAATATTAGTCCCAGAGATTCTAAACAGAGCGTTCAGAGCGACGACAGGAAAACTAAGGGTGAGGAGATTGATGCTTCGACTTCTTCAAAAGCTCCATACGTACCCATATTGCAGAAACAAGATGAAACGCCTCCGGTGAAGGAAACAGAGAAGACGATTGAAAAACAGAAAGGAGACGAGGTGAAGAAGGAAATTAGCTTCATTGAAAAGGCCAAGGAAATGACGAACGTAGCTGCAGCGGCGATAAAGACTTCATTGGAGAATGAGGATCGGCAGTTGATTGTTAATATGGGTGTGGCAGCTTTGACGATCATGGCCTTTGGGGCTTATGTCACCCACAGCACTTGATCGTCTACAAATGCCATAGATTAAATTTAATTAGACTATTGTATTCATCATGGAGTTCCTGAAAAATTGTATATTAAACCATCTTACACTAGAAAATACAATATAAACAACTGCTTTGATAATTGAAACGATATTCCTCATTCATAAGATTAAATAGTTCCTTAACGTTGATCTTCCTGGGAGTAGTTAAAAACTGGAAAACATGGAAACAAGCTGCGTGAATCATTAGCATAAAATCTCAAAGAAAAAAAAATAGAAGTTTTACTTGCTACTAATGCCGGCTTAATGTACCTAATACATCTCCAACATAAAAAGTTATTTCTATCCAGAGCCATTCAAGGTAATGGATGTCAGAAGTCCAGGCATCTGCATTTCCAACAATATATTCCGTTCCAGTCCAAATGTAAGGGCAGGAAGAAGGCTGTGTGCCATGGCAAACACCAACAAAGTCATAGCTGATAACATTGCATTTGAGCTACAGCTGACCGTTTGCTCTGGAATCACGATGGGATTAATGGTTGAATGAAATCGAAGCATTGCCATTCACAAAAAATACCTTGGCCTCCCCCAAGAATGCATGTCTGAGTCACTTAACTAGAAATCGTCCGGATTCTAGAACACAAGAAGATAAGTCCAACATAAAAAAAAATTATTGGAATCCATCATTCAGGGTTCCTCTATTATTTTGATCTTGTTCCAGGGCCCAAACTTTTCTGCTCCATTTTGACAAGCACATTCACCATGTAGAAGTAGGTATATAGCAGTGTCTCACATGAATTTCAAGGAACCGACATTTGACAACCAAAAAGTTAAGGAAATTATAAATAAATAAGTCTAAGTTATACAGACATTTTCCCCCCTTTTTCTTCACAAGCACAAAAAGAGTTAAGAATCCTAATCTACTAGTTATAATCAGAAGCATCATCTTCATATACACCATTGTCAAAATCCTGATCAACCACAGGTTTATTTTTTGTCTTTGATCTACTGGAAGATTTCAAGGGTTTTAAGGGTTTCCTGACCTTCTCTGCCTGTAACTCCAACCCCTTCTCTGAAGGCTTCCGTTTTCTTTTAACTTGTATTCCTCCAGTGTCCTCTGCAACAAGCAAAATTTGGAACATATACAAATGAATGAAGAGTTACCAGAGGGAAACAAATAGAGAATATTAATAATCTAACATCAACCTAGAATGAAGTTTAGGGATCTTTAGATTTCCAGAGGCAACTCCAACCTCAATACATAGCATGCAATGTCAAGCCTTTTTTTTTTTTTTTTTTTTTTTTCTTGTAGATAGCTTATTTATTACTAAAAAGCATGCCCCGAGATTTATGTCAATTGTTCACAAATATACAAAGGAAGCTTCGTTTTACCTTCAGGAGGACTTGATGTATTATTTGTTGCATGTCCATTCTGCCCATCCTCTTCAGAAAGAGGAGATTCGGAACGGTTTTGATCCATCAACTTTGAAGAACTTCCTACACGCTTGTCTTGCTGGTCAAGGACATCAGGACAAGGAGTGGCTGGTAAGAAGCATAATTCCTCCTGGGACATATCCGATTCACTGAAAGCATCTTTCTCCACTGTTACAATATCGATTTCATCATCTTCATTGACACCAGAATCTTTCACCTGAAATATGCTTGTTTTTAGAAACATAAGGTCAACTCTTAATAACATGAAGTCACAAAAAGGTCCTCTCAAATGGTTTTTTTCTTTTACCTTTTCAGTTTCAGGCATCAGATCAAACTCATCTTCTCGTTCCACATACTCCTCATTTTCCTCAAGCTCTTTGAAATCTGGAGCAAAAGCACTCCAGTTTTCGGTATAATCTTTAGCCCAAATATAAACCAAACCAGTAATGGAGACAGACACAATAATGGGGTGCACAGGATGCCATGCTAAGTCAATCATTGCTTCCTTTGGACCTTCAAGTATTTTCACAAGATGCCCATCCCTGTCCCATATGTAGATCTTGTGCTCTCCTTTGCTAGCTGAGCCAGCAATAACCCACTCACCATCACCACTGAAGCAAGGAGCTTTCCAATGCATCCTTGTGATTGAATCTTGAAACTCCCGGAAAAGTTCTAAGCACTTTGATCCAACAGTCTTCATCTTCTCAACAGGATCTTGCTCTTCGATGGTCTTGTTAAGGTCTTCAACAGCTCTTAGTCCATCTTTTAAAGGAAGAAGATTTACATAGACCCTGATAATCCGATCATTTGAATTTGTGAGGAGATACTGTCCATTCCTGCTGAATAGAATGTTCTTGATTGCAGCACCAGCACCTCCAGAAGTTGGAATCATGGCAAGGACTTGAGTGCTTTTGTGATCAATTATAAGTATTTCTCCTTTAGAGTTTCCCACATATACCAGATCCCCATACTTGTTAAAGCATGCAGCTGGTGGTGTTAAAGGAGTTCCGTCAGGGAATTTGTTACGTTGTGAAGGGGCACTTCCATTGGCTATGTCTGGAACTGTAAATGGTAGCCCAGTAGTATTTCCAGTACTTAAGTCAACAATCACAGGAGCAGATGAAAGGGGGCAAGCTAGGCAGAGAGATGGCATTGAAGAACCAGGATGTAGACGGGCATGTAGTGGGGTTTGAGGCAGAAATGCACGTGCAATCTTCTCCCCACTGACAACATCCCAAAGTGTCAATGATTTGTCAGCAGCAGACACAAGAATACGATGACCATACTTTGACCAGCACACACTTGTTACAGAAACAGCACAGTCTCTGTCCCTAAGTTCCTTGGCAATGCCCCTAGTCTCAAAATCCCAAATGATACATCTTCCATCAGAGCATCCAGCTGGACAAGAATATTAAGCAAAAATTATCAGCAGCTAAGTATAGACCACCTTCCATGACCACTTGGTGGATACAAATGCTTGTTCATCATTCAATAAACTCTCAAACAAAAAGGAAAAGAAATACATAGTTGTAAAGGAGTTATAAGTAGTCACACATGATTCTTTCAATTTTAAAAAACCCAACAGAGACATTCCAATGCCTCTTTGAATCTGCTAGTGTTCTGCAAAACGAATTAGAGCAGTAACACCCTAAGCCTTGCTGTTGGCATACCCCTAACGCTGTTATAGACAAGAATCTTATCCAGTAGGTAGCACTGGCCGGTGGCTTGAGTAGACAAAAAACCTCACTTTAAGCAGCACAGCAACCTCAAAAATGACAGTAGTTGGTCACTTTCAAAATCAATACTCTAGTCAACTAGCCACAGATAATGATACAAAGTAATGACACTGAGGATGTACAAAGAAACTATTAATTGTACAAAGTAATACATCAGTACAGATATGCTGAGGAAGAAGTGGAATGTAAATTCACTATCCTTCTCAGATTTTCTAATTCTACTAGGAAGCAATGAAACTTAATCGCAGCAGATAACAGAAAGAATGCATGCCCAATATCTTCTATAGATAAACCCTTAATCCCAAAATTTTGGACAGCAATTCTTTTTGAAAGAAAGGGGACAAAAGCCAAAGCCTTGGAAGAGAACCAAGGCCACTGCTTTCAATCAAAGCCACAGCGTAAAAAGATGAATATTCAGAAACACCTCCAAGAAAAATCTTCAAAAAGTAAAAGAGGAAATATAGGTAAACTTTAGTGTACAATGTAGAGAAGGGATTACCAGCAAGAAGGGTACCACGGCGGTTAAAGGCAATACATTTCATAATCCCATGTTCCAAATACTCCTCTATCACCTCCGGAAAGTCTCCTTGCAGCGGATCTTCAACCAACATTACACAAACTCAAAAACTACCCACCAAATCCAAAAAGGGAAGTCTCAGGGGATAAGTCAAGAAAGAGAAACTCACCTATTATCGAAGCATTCATCTTCTACAGCCACAGCCACGGAGAGAAGACAACGAGGAAAGACGAAACAATTTGGAGGCAAAAGTGAACTTCGAACCCTTCTCTTCTATTTCAACCAGGAGAGATGGAACATCGGAACTCCCTCGGACTCCGACAGGCGCTCCTTTTATAAACGGGTCTCTGTTTTCTCTTTGTTCAACCCCTCGTCCCTTAATTATGACCATGTTTACAATTTCGTCCCCATTATTTTTTTACTCGTGAAATCCCAAATTTGGCCATAACTTCATGGGAGTGCATAAAAATCCAAACTTAACGAAGAATTGTGATCAAGTCCTTGTGCCTCACAAGATCATCAATAATTATTTGCTTCTTGCCTAGTGAACATGAACTTGGTCCTAAAATTAAGTTGAGTGGAAAATTGTTTGGAAAAGTAAAAAAATAAATAAAATTACATTGAATATAAATATTTAAAATTTTACGAAACAATTATAACAATAAATACTATAAAAAGAAAATTTTACAATGCTTTTTGAATGCCAACTTGGGCAGGGACACAACCATTAATGATAGAACGGTCCATTTCACGTTAAATCTAGACTTCTTTGTGCACATTTTTGGTAGTTAGGGATTTAAGGGTCTTAATTAAACAGAAAAATGTCTAGGAGCCTGATTGACCAAAAATCTACTAGTTCGAGGGCACAATCTTTGGGCCTTTCATTTTTCTTTTGCCTTTAAATAACCCAACAAACATTGAGACCCGGCCCAAACCCGAATAGCCCATAAATAGGGTTTTATCTGGGTTTCTTTGTCCGTCAGCCAGCGCGCTGCCTGCAAAGCTCGGACTTCGCTTTCACCACGGCGTTTCTCCACCCCGGCATACCCGGAGGTTGCTGAAATCGTAAAGAAGAATCGAGCTTATTGCTTCTGAAGTTGTTGTAGGCACGAAAGAAAGTTTGTGCGACGATCAAATATGGTGAGTAAAACTTCTTGTTGCAAATTGCAGTTTTCATGATGGTTTTCTTTTCTGTTTGGTTCACTGGAAAATTGTTGGAAAGAAAATTTATTTGATTCTCTCTCTATTTTCTTTCTTATGTTGATGGGAGAATCGAGCATACTGTTCTACCTACATTTTAGTTTTCTTCATGCTTTAAAATTTGTTTGTTGGGGCGTCAGAGAATTGGGTTTTTTTTTTTTTTTTTTTTTTGAATTGATGAGGCTTACTTGTGGTTGCAGTCTGACATTAGGAAGTGGTTCATGAAAGCCCATGACAAAGGCAAAGGCAATGATAATGCATCATCCAAGCCTGTTAATCCTGCACCAACCAATGCAGAACCAGTGAGTACATCCTTTTCCCCTTTGTTTTGTAATTAGAAAGCTGTTGTTATTATGCAAAGAAAGAAATTTGTACACAGATATAAATTTGATGTGACTTTGTAATTTGGTTCTAGGCACTAAGTTTAGAGTTTGGAGGAACATGTATTGAGACCTGATGTTTCTAGTTTCTGCAATTTTTTAGAAACTTTTGCTCTTTCTTTGGTCTTGCAATGGGGTCTAGTAACCCTGGCTTGGTTGACTTGTTGCCCGAATAAACAGGAGTGTTCTGGGAAAATGACAACAAAAGAAGCAGAAATTAGCCAACATGAATGTGTTTCTTTCTATTCATGTAATGTTCATCATGTGGAATTAATTGTGGTGCAGGGAGGCCAAGAAAATTCTGCCAGAAGGAAAACCAGTAAGTATTTTCCAGCTCCTGCTGACAAACAAAATCAGAAAGATGACAAAGGTGTGGATAAGCCTCCAGCCAAGAGAAAACTTCTAAAGGACAGCAGTGAATCACCAAAACTACCACCTTCCAAAAGACCTAGTAAAGTTGATGATGATGAGGACTTTGTCTTGCCCAGTTCAGAGAAGCCTGCTGAAGTCCCTCCCAGTAAGAAACTCAAGAATAGTTCAGGAAAGGGGGTTTCTAAGAAAACTGTAGATATTGATGAAAATGATGAGGATAATGATGTTAAAGATATTGAGACTCCTGTAAAGTCTGGTGGCAGGGGTCGTGGTGGCAGGGGTGCATTGGGGGCCCCAGCTAGTGGAAGAGGTAGGGGTGGTGGACGGGGTGGATTTATGAATTTTGGAGAAAGAAAAGATCCTCCACATAAAGGAGAGAAGGTAAAAGCATACTTAAGTGTCTGATTTATCAATTAAAGCCTAAAGCTTCCTCCAGATTTCAGTCCTGTTGCTTAATCTTTCTAGTTTTCAGGAAGTCCCTGAAGGTGCTCCTGATTGCTTGGCAGGTTTAACTTTTGTAATTAGTGGAACACTTGACAGGTATTTGAATTTGTATCCATTTTCCATTGACAGGTTTATTCTACCTACTGATATGTGAAAAAATAACATTTTGCACATTTTCTTCTTGGAATTATAGATCATATTTTATGCTAAGATGTTTACCATGTTTCTTTGTGTGCATATATGGACATTTTTTAGACTCTGGTTTACAAGTGCTGTGTATAGTGGGTTGGGGCCATTACTTAGCAGTTTCCTGCTCCTTGTCCTTGTAGTTTAGAAAGAGAAGAAGCAGAAGACTTCATTAAACGCTATGGTGGTCGTATCACTGGATCTGTCAGCAAAAAGACGGTCATTCCATATTTCTGTTTTATATTTGCTGGAATTCATGTTGAAGTCTTGGCATATGATTAACATTGTCCATCTGCAGAATTATCTCTTGTGTGATGAAGATATTGGGGGAAGGAAGTCAGCTAAAGCCAAAGAACTGGGGTTTGACATCTCTGATCCATATTCATTGACATTCACATTTCCACTTCTCGTTCTTTTTGTTCTTAGCATCTGTATTTTATTGTAGCACTGCCGTCCTCACTGAGGATGGATTATTTGACATGATCCGTGCATCAAATCGTGGAAAAGAACGTTCAAAAGAAGAGTTGAAGAAATCTGTGGATAAAGTTGCTGCATCTCTGCCTAAGGAGAGCCCTAAGAAAGCAGAAGTGAAGAGTATGCTCAACTGATTATGTGCTGTTGGCTTTTGGTTGCATTTTATTCAACAGTTGACTTCACATGATAATAGCCATGTTTTGTTGTGTGACTTTAGATACATTAAGTTCAATGGTGAATTTGAGTTGCTTTTTTGTTTATTGGAATAGGCAACTCTTCAGAAACAAAGGTCTCTAGCAAGGCCTCAAAGCCAAGTGTTTCATCTGTGAAGCAGATAGAACAAACTTCCCTACATTCTTCTGTGATGTGGACTGAAAAGTATAGGCCAAAGATTCCTAATGAGATCATTGGGAATCAATCACTGGTATCTTTTATCTATCAGACTTGTCTGTTTGTCATTTGTATAATTAGTTCTGTCTCCTGAAAGCCTTCTAATTATGACCACTTGCACAGGTTACCCAACTTCATAATTGGTTGGCACATTGGAATGAGCAGTTCCTTCACACTGGAAGTAATGGAAAGGGAAAAAAGAAAAATGATCCTAATGCCAAAAAGGCTGTTCTATTAAGTGGAACACCTGGTATAGGAAAAACTACCTCAGCAAAATTGGTTAGTCAGATGCTAGGTTTTCAACCAATTGAGGTGGAGTTTCTTTGACCAATAGCAATCTCACTCCTTAGGGTCAATCGTTATCTTGTGAGATGCCACTATGCCTTGATGTGAATACCATATGTTTCATTTAGGTAAATGCTAGTGACAGTCGTGGAAAGGCTGATGCCAACATTTCTAAAGGAATTGGTGGAAGCAATGCAAATTCTGTCAAAGAACTTGTTAGCAATGAGGCCTTGAGCATTGACATGGATCAGTTTGTTCTGCATTCTTGATCAATCTTGTATCAATTGATTAGTATATTCTTCACAACAGACCCAAGTTAATTGTTGACTAAAATTTCAGGTCAAGACGCAAAAAAACTGTCCTGATTATGGACGAGGTGGATGGGATGTCTGCTGGAGATAGAGGTGGAGTAGCAGATTTGATAGCTAGCATAAAGATTTCCAAAATCCCCATTATTTGCATTTGCAATGACCGTTACAGTCAGAAACTGAAAAGTCTTGTGAACTACTGCTTGCTTCTTACTTTCAGGAAACCTACAAAACAGCAGGTTTGTTTGTACTTTTCTTATATATCTCTAGGATTTCTGTAGATATGGCACTACTGCTTGCTTTCAGTTTTGGGAAGCCTATACACAGCAGTTTTCTTACTACAGTTTCTTATAGATTGCTGGGATTTCCAGAGATGTTTTCCTTATTTAGCCCATCTTCTTGTGATCAGACTTAAATCTATGTGTTCTCTAGGATGTTGCATTTGCTGGGATTTCTGTAAATATCCTACTTGGATCTACATAGTCATCGGTTGCACATTCACCCATAGAGATACATAGATAAAATATGAATAGGAAATACAGTTGGGTCTTATTTTTCTTGTAATTCACTTGGTGAAGGTTCACTTCCTGAATGATTTTTGCTTTGTCAATTTTGTTGTATTTATTTGTTGATTCTTGTGGCCACTTAGATGGAGAACAACATATCCGTGAAAGATGTGTATTTAATGTTGTCTATACCTGTGTCTCCCTGAATGCATGTTTGCATGGATTTGTGATTTAAAATTAAAATTGAAAGTTTCCTTCATCTCTTAATTTATATATTTTAAATGGGTTATATGGTCATTGTGGTGTAAGTGGGCTTAGTCGGGGAGGGTCTGAAAAAAATATCAGGATACTAGTTACTAAAACTGATTTGTCATGTGGCAGATGGCAAAGCGATTAATGCAAGTAGCAAAAGCAGAAGGTCTTCAAGTTAACGAGGTAATAGTCTGTCTTGTTTTATTATGGTTGGGGTTTATATTGTTCATTATTAGTTTTATACTCTTTTTGGTGGCCTTGGAAGCTCCATTTAATTTAAACTATGATGCAGTCCGGGGAAAATGGGAATTTATGCAAAGCAGATAGAGAATATGATTCAATTTTGTGCTTGAAATCCCTATATAGTATCGAGTGGGTTATAGAGTATACTTTTGTTAATCTGTTATGTTTCCTTGAAGAATATCAAAGTTATGATGTTCCGTCCAACAGTTGCTATCCTCTAATCTGTTCAACAGATTGCTCTTGAGGAACTTGCAGAAAGAGTGAATGGAGATATGCGCATGGCACTGAACTTGTTGCAATATATGAGCCTTTCCATGTCAGCTATCAACTACGATGACATAAGGCAGCGTCTTCTTAGCAGTTCCAAGGATGAAGAAATTTCACCATTCACTGCTGTAGATAAGTATGATTTTAATATATATGTATATATATATTTTTTTCTGCTTAATGTTGCACCTTGTTTGGCTCCCAAAAGATAATGCTTCTCTAAGTAGCCTGTTTGTAGTCCACAAAAAATTGTTTTACTTTTTCCCCATTTTGTTCTTTGGGTTGTTAATTGCAATGAACTTTAGCTCTTATTTGTCCTATATGCTATCAAGTTTCTTAGGTAAAATAGGCTCCATAAACAACTGCACTCTACTTTGGGCGGTAATTATAATTTGCTTATCTTATGTATTATACAAAAAGCAAACATAATCTCTTTTGTTACCATGTTCTCTTGGTGTATGACAGCTGTTTCTGAGTAATGGAATTTTCAGACTGTATAATATAAGTCATTGGTCAATTGTTAATTTGCAGTTCAGCACCATGAAATGTCCTTGAAGTGTAAATGCTGTGTTGACTTCAAATTTTGAGCCTGTAATCTTTAAAGCTGATGATAATTCTGCAGTACAGAGCTGTCCTCACTCCAAAATTTGCTATCATTCCAGGTTGTTTGGCTATAGTGGGGGAAAGTTGAGAATGGATGAGCGGATTGACCTAAGCATGAGTGATCCTGATTTAGTTCCTCTTCTTGTCCAGGTTCTTGCCTTCTGATCTCATATTTATTTAACTTTACTATTGTTGAATCATGAAAGTTTTTAGAGCCAGTTTGGTGATTGTTTTCAAACAGAAATGCTTTATAGTCATGTGTAATTCAGTTCTTTGGAGATTGGGCTTACACTTACAAGCATTACTAGTAATTTGTTAAAGGTATCATGAATTTGATGGAGCTTTGGACTTTGACTAACAAACGCTGTCAATTAAATAAGTGTCCAACATACAACCTATCTACCATGCAAGAAACTTGAACTAAATCAGAGGCAAAATGTTATTCAAGCATTAAAATGGACTGAATATGATGAGCTTAAGAAAAGATTAAACAATGTGCAGATTTGCATGAGTATAATTATTTTTTTTGAATTATATGGCAGGAAAATTATATTAATTATAGGCCAAGTTCAACTGGTAAAGATGATACTGGACTGAAACGCATGAGCTTGATTGCCCGTGCTGCCGAATCTATTGGAGATGGGGATATAATCAATGTGCAGATTCGAAGATATCGGCAGTGGCAGCTCTCCCAAACTGGTTCCCTTTCATCCTGTATCATTCCGTATGTATATTCATTCAGTGTTAAAACAAAAGTCTTTTCATCCTGTATATTCATTCTGTATGTATCATTTCTTAGTGATGTTTTTTAATCTTGTTTGTTTAATCAGTGCTGCATTGTTACATGGACAAAGGGAAATACTTGAACAGGTAATGGATGTCAATCTTGCAGGTCTTTGATGCTGGTTATGCCTCTTTCAGGAATATTCTTGATCACATTTTTGCTTGCATAAGAACTATTTTCAGCAGAACCTTGTGACCATATGCTTCTTTAAGGTTGTGATTCTTGAGAAAAAGCATACTGAAGGTTTTTTTAATACCCTAACCCTTTATATAATTTGACCTGTTGCGTCTGTTCCTTACCAGACAAAAAATGAAAATAGGTACCCTGCATTAAATATTATAAGGAGGTTGCTTCTACATGAACGTGCTCAATATAATAGCACATGAACATGCAAGCTCTAAATCTCATCTGGGTCCCATCTTCAGGTGCTTAGAATTTATGAAAATGGATGAATGAAACTTACATGATGTGTAATGCTACACATTTTCAGTGGTGATTCTGTAATTAAATTTAGATGCCTTTTGGATTGGATTTTAGGTTTGGTTTTAATAATAACAATTGGCTTAATGTCTGCAGGGAGAACGGAATTATAATAGATTCAGTGCGTGGCTTGGAAAGAATTCATCAATGGGGAAAAATTTTAGGCTTCTGGAGGATTTGCATGTTCATCTTCTTGCCTCTCGTGAATCAAGTTCAGGAAGGTATGTTTGCATGTTTGTTATCAAGACAATGGTCTCTAGATTATATCATTAGTTTGAGAAAAATCAACTGAAGCATAAATGTTAAAGAGGAAAATTTGTCCTTGTTCTAATGCTCACAGAGTACCTTTTCCATTATTTTTCTTTAATTTTAGATGGTCTCCTCATCTGGAATTCTTAGATGCTTCATTGTGTGTTACAAGTTCTATAATCATTATCATGTTGCAAATGGAACAGGGGGACTCTACGTCTTGAACATCTCACACTTCTGATGAAACGATTGACTGATCCACTTCGGCATTTGCCTAAGGTTTGGAACTGTCTTATGTTAGTAGTTGCAGAACACCTTTTACTTGTAGGAGACAGATTGCTAGCTAGGTTCTGAGTCAAAGGGGTGGTGCCCTAACACTGCCTTGATATTCAAAGGAAGGTGTGCCCATTGATGTGCTTTTTGCAACTTAGCTGAGGCAGATAGTGACTTGATACTTGGGAAACCTTGTCAAACAAGTCTGATCATTACCAAGATTATTAAATGGGCACTATTTTCAGGAGGGCTTAGTCTTCTATTTAGGGGGCTTTTGACCTTGTTTTCTAAAATAAACACGAGCAAACAGTTAATCATTTCTTTTCTTTTGATGGTTTTAGATTCCCCATTTACACTGTTTTGTTTATCTGCTTGCCTCTATGTGTGTGTGTTTGTGTGTTGTAAGTACCCTTTGTGTTTCAGTACCTCGTAAATTTAACATATTTCTGTTATGGTCTATAATGACCAGGATGAGGCTGTTAAGCAAGTGGTAGAGTTCATGAATGCTTACTCAATAAGCCTGGAAGACTTTGATACTATTGTGGAGTTGTCTAAATTCCAGGTACCTACACCTCTATTTCATATACAACAGGTATATGTTATTTCCCATGCTCATTTTTTATTATCATTTTGTGCATCAGGGTCATCCAAATCCACTAGAAGGCATTCCACCAGCTGTCAAAGCAGCTATGACAAAAGCATATAATGAAGGAAGCAAATCAAGGATGGTACGTGCTGCAGATTTAATTACACTTCCTGGAATGAAAAAAGCCCCCAAGAAGCGTATTGCTGCAATTCTGGAACCATCTGATGATGGTGTAGGAGAGGAGAATGGTGATGAATTGGCAGCAAATGAAGAGAATGCTTCAGATTCGGAGGATGTTGGTAAGCTTTTGTTATGATAAGTTGTGTTGAGTACTTGAGCTGTTTGCTGGTAACTTCTCTAACTTATTTTCACCAATTGTTTGTCAACTATCCATCCCACTCACAAAAGGTAAATAATTGGAAAATATATAGGCATCAAACTTGGTAAATTGATCCAGGGAAATACTTTTTCTGCTTTGACGTTGACGACCTGGTTGAAATTGTCAAACAAACAGCTAGTATTATCCACTACATTACAGGAAATCAGAAATTCATTGACCATTAGTGATCAACGTAAAAAGATCAAATGATCTGGGCAAAGGGTGAGAAAAATCATGTCTAAAGTGGTTACTTCTTGTTTTTGGACATCTGTGTGAAACTTGAAATAGAATCGGCATGTTGTACAATACTTTCTAAGATTTCGTTGCAAGATAAAATATCAGAATATGTGCATTAATTCTCTTTGATGTACCTTTTCCTCTAATGTGTAAGAAGGGACTGCCAATGGTGAGAAGCTGCAGGAGGAACTTCAAAGTCTGAATTCTAAAGGTTGATAATATTATCTCACGTTATCTTTGGATCAGCAGTGATGATTTGAGTTGTTAATCTTGATGGCATTTTTTATGTTTTCTCATGCTTTTTCCATATATTTCATAGGAATCAAGGTTGAATTGGAATTGAAGAATACCGGGAATTCAAGCACCAAGAAGACACAGGCAGGTAGAGGAAGGGGCAGGTCTACCTACACACCCGCAACTGAAAAGAAAAGCGGACGTGGATCTGGAGCTGGTGCTAGGAGAAAGAGATGAGATGTTGACAATGTAAATGGTTTTTTTTTTTTTTTTCTAAACAATTTTGGCAATGTTTATGACCATTGTCATTATGATCAGTACCCTGGATGTACTTGGATGCATCATTTCGGATGGTTCGGCAAGAATTGTGGGCAGATGATTCCTGTTTTTTCACCTTTTCCAATGGTGTAACTGATGTTTTACAGTATATTTTGAACTTTGGTCTTCTGGCATTTCATTGGATGCTTTGTGTTCCAAGTAAACGTAAATGACTAAAAGAAGTGTTGATTCTAAAACATTTACTCTCTGAATCAAAAGAGTAGAACTGACACCAAACCAGCACCCAGAAACAAAAAGGAAGCAATAAGGTTACAACAATGATGACAAATTATCAATGAAAGAATAGGTCATATGTCACCTATGACACATCTAAGCTGAAGGAAGGGGAAAGTCCTATTCGGTCCCACACTCAAAACCAGAAAGGGGAAAGCGGAGGATCAATTGTACGTTGTGAAGCATGGTATTCTCCCCATCAAGCGTCCAGCTTTCCTGGGCCAGAAGAACTTCTACTTTGCTCAACATTGCCCTTGTACATACCCAATAAACCTGGCACCTTGTCCAGATGCTTGGTAACGTATGTATCCAGGAATTTCTTATCACTCAAGTCCAGCAACCAAAAAATCTTAATGTCCTCTCTAATCAGCTTCTTTGACAGCAAAACCTTGAGCACCTCATACCTTGGCCGCAGCCTTTTATCAAGTGAATATGTAAGAATTTTTGGGAAAGCAATTACAGTCTTTAGTTCAGCATTCACAGTATTTAGCAAAAAATCCATTTGACTCCTTATCTTCTTCTCCGAATAAGCAAAGCAAAAGGGAGCTTCCCTAAAAGTTCTCAACAAATCCTCTTCACTCCATCCTAAACTCTTAAACAACTCCATTTTATTCTTCCAAGTTGCTTCACTCATATGACTCAAAACTTGAATACCGCGTATAAAGACTGAATCTTTCGGTGAAACACCCATATTTTTGACAGCTTTAAACAAGGAAGCTATCATTTCCCGCTTTTGCAATAGAACTCTCGGTCTTGCTACAAGCAGTTTCGATACTCTATCAGCAGAAATTCCCTCATCTACCAAGAATTCAACATTTGGCTGCAAGACCCTCTCAAGATTAGAGCTCAACAACCGTGGAGCTCGATTCAGAGTCTTCATCATGTCTGGAATGCTTTCAAGATATTGCCTTAAAACTTTGAAGGATGGCTTTATGCGAGAATCCAAACTTCTAGCAAGAATTAGTGGATCAGTGACGATGAGCTTTGTTAAATGCTTACCCGTCAATCCATTTTCAGTGAGAAATTTCAGTTTGGGGTTCAGCGTGGCTTCCACGTCGCATTGGAGGACATTGGGGCGCTTTTCGACCAATTTGATGATATGGGTATCGTCGAATCCGTGAGATTTCAAACAATTTATAACCAATGCATGCTTCCCAACATTCTTCCAGTTGGAGTGGGGCTTCAGGGATTTCGAAAGTGCGGATTCCAAGGAAAAGCCGCATGGGTCGATGAGGCACTCAACTGACGGTGATGGTAGTCGTTGTGGTGGTGGCGGAGATAACGTCGCCGGTGTTGCGAGGAAACGCTTCTGCCCCGCAAAGAGCAGATTTCTCAGAGGGATTTTGAGCATTTTTCCGAAGCAGCCGGACAAAGAGACAGATCGGAGGGGGAAATTATGAGTGCATTTCGTTAGGGTTTAGTCCAAATGGTAAATACTAAATACTCAATGTAATCCACTAAACTTATGAAGGGGTATCGATTGGATACCAAATCTTTTCTTCACGCAAAATAGGTCCCAAGGATTTCAAATACTTTATTATGTTTTTTCTTTGAGGGCCATCCTCACACGTTTAAGGGTTTGAGTTTGAAAATTTTAATTTGAAGTTTTTAACTCTTATAAATTGAGATACTCTTTTAAAATTTTACTATTACATTATGGGATTGTAGATTTTCAAGATTACTTGACAATCCTAACACAATTACAACCGTCGATCATGTGAGTCTCACTTAAGGACCCACATGATAAACAGCTATGATAGTGCCAAAACTCCCAAGTAGTCTTGAAAATCACTTTTCTGTTATATTATTTTATTTCAATTTTTTATTGAAAACAAGAGCATTACAATTTAGACAAATGAAAAAAAGGTCATACAAAGTGGTGCTTTTGTAATTAAAGTGGTTTTATCATAACATAAAAGGCTTTGTACCCTTGTTAATAAAATTTTTATGCTACATCAATTTTTTTTTTTTAAAAAAAAACTAGTATAAAAAGTTTTTACACCCTTAGAGAAAAAAATCAAATAAGAATACAAATTTTGTTTTTTTTTTTTTATTTAATGATATGCTTGACTAAGATTGTTGGTTGCTACGTCATCATCACCATTCAATAAATCTTTAAATAAAAAAAAGCTCAAAATTGATATAGTTTATCATTTGATTTAAAAACTCAAAAAGTTTATATCTTTAAATTAAAAAAATAACAAAATTTGTATCAAGTATCTTTATTTGCACCTTTTAGAATTGAAATAGGAACATTTGGATTAAGTAACAGAAATATCAAACATAATTTTTTACCGTCATTTGTAGTTAAGAACTAATAGCATGTTTGGTTTGCCATTTGAGACAAGAAAGTTTAAGGCCCTAGTCCCCTTAAATTGTTTTTAATAATCCTGCCTGATAAATATTTCATTCTTATAGAATTACATTTGATGTTTCTTGTTTAGATTTACAGTGGATAAGAGTAGGATTTTCCTTATGTTTCATAGTTTCATACAGAAGCTTACTTCTCAAGATCCCAGGATCATTTGGTGTACAACAACATAAATTTATCCAATATATATTACATCTAAGCCTGTGAAGAGATTTTGTTGGTCAACACAAGCTGTATAATTTTGTTATTACCAATGAGTGATTATAGAAGCTTGATCTGACAATTTCTTTTGCTTCCACTATAGCTTTGTGAATGGTTAGCGAGTCTCACTAGAGAAGGTATGTTCTCTCTGATGTTTCTGTATTTAATGGTCCGTATATCCCGAACATATTGATTTGTATCAATTATTGTTGGAGAAGTTTTCGAACTAAACAAAAAAAAAAGACAATGATTGGGAAGGACATAAATGAAAATATATCATTTTATATTAAAACTTTTCAAATAGAAGAAACATGTTTATAAAGTGGTGTCTTTTATCAATAGACATTTATAATCTATAAAAAGCGTTCTCATTATCTTCTTAAAAGTGAGACTCTTATCTATAGAAAAACAAACTCCTAATGGACAATAAAGAGTGATTCCAACATGGATAATATGTACCACATCATGCTATTTTTCAATATAAAAGTCCTCTTTTGTGCATTGATTGCTGTAGAAATACTTATATGAAAGAGATAGTTTTGCAACTTGAAGAAGTGAGATTTAGTGGTTGGTTTCATTAGTGTAAGGAAAAAGCAACAGGGTTTCATTGTATCTTATAAGTATTTTCGATTAATACTTTTTACATACCAAAATAGTAGAGGTAAAAGTAACTTAAAGGAAAGTTACATTTGCGACACACTTTGAAGCTAATGATTTATTTTTTAACTCCCAATTTTCAACAATTATTTTATGCATTTAATTTTTTTTTTTTTTAAACATTTTAGTTATGGGACCTACTCGAACCGTTACTTTGGAGAAAAAGATATAAATCTTACAAGAGTAATTAGAGTCATTTGATCCACAGAATCATTTGACCTACAAACTCAGATTCGCATTTAACCTATATTTGATTTGAAAAAAATGTAGTAAGAAACTTTTCATACAATCTAAATAATTATAGCTCAATGACTTTGCTTCTACGTATCTCTGTAGCTGCAGAAAGGTACGCTGGTTGGATTAATTTTGTGATGGGTACTGGGCTAATAGGTTTATAGAATCAGTCTCTTTGATACGGTTTTGGGATCTGGGCCAAATGTTCTCTAAATCAGTTTGTTTCTGCGCTAACGTCTGTAAAATGAAATAATTGAACTTTCTAATGGTCCATAAAGATTATTTACAAATGTAAATAATTGAGATAGTCCTGCTGCTGATATATTGGTCTCAGTTAGGTACGTTGATCTACGAAATATTTGTACTAGTTGGCCTTCTAATTGAACTTTGACGCTGTATCGATGGCGATTATCGATTAAGCGCTGACTGTTTAATATTTTTTGACTGGGCTAAACAAATCTGGCTGCATTTTAAATGGCCAACTAAAAGGATTCGAATAAGCCCAAAGTGTTGGTTGGCCCTAGTAGCCCAAAAAAATCCTATTGGGCTGCTGTTTCTTACAGCAAAAATTTTTCATGGTCATGATGGGCCCGATGGTCTGAGAACTTTTTATATTGGAATGTCTATATATCTCATTATTCAAAATGTATCACTTTCGGCCTTAATTGGGTCGAAGCCCAAAAATGCTTCTTCTTGGGCTCTATAATATACTCCGGCCCAAAAAATTTTGTACTGGGGTAACAATAGAGTTCTGTTAGGCCTCTGCTGGAGGGTCAGAATGACCAAAAATGTATTGTGCCCAGTAATTATTTCTTTTATTAAGTCTGTTAGGCTACCAATAATATTTCTCATTGGGCGGCAATCTGGCCCAAATGAGCCCAATAATTACTACCTTTGGGTTTATACAGTGTTTATTAGGCCAAACGGCCCAGACCCAAATATAGACCTTAAATTACTTTAGGCCCAATGATAATCCCCTTTTCCAAAAATTGTGGCCTGAAATCAGAAGAAAAGGATTAATTTAATTTAATGAATAAAAATGTTTTAATTAATAATAAAAATTATTAATTATTAATTTTAAGCTGCTATATCATATCATCCAGAGTATTCAATTAATGAGTTAGTGATAGGAAGGAATGTAGAAAGATAATGAAGACTGAATGGTTATAAGAATTAAATGCGAATTAATCCTCTGTTTGAACAGAGGGATTTCGATGAAAAGGGTAGGAGAGTGAGGGGAAATATCTTCATTTTCTTGTTTGAATTTCTTTATTAATGAAGGAGAAGGTAGATGGAGGAGTGATGGAATTCTCACCAGTCCACCAGTCCTCTCTTTTTTATATCTCCAATTTAGAAGGATGGTAAGAAGTTTGATTTATACATTTAGTTTTTTGAATTTTTTTAAAAGATAAACATATAAAAATATTTTATTTTAATTATTTTTTAATTAGTAAGTTGTAAAATTTTTATTTTATTTTATTTTTATTTAAATTATTTAATTAAATACAAAATTATCCATTCCTCTTTTTTACTTTTATATATTTAAATAAGATTACCATTAATCATTTACTTTCTTTTACTTCTCCTTTC